ATACAACGATCAAAATATTAAAAACTACAAGAGTGGAGAGCGTTAGACTAACATAATAAACTGATATATATATATATATATATATATATATATATATATATATATAATTTATTCGAAAGTTATAATATAAATAGGTTATAAAATCACTACAAAAATAGCCATTTTGTTTCACCCTCCTGGTGTCTTATCAAGTGATGGTGTTGAATTAATACCATCACTTGATAAGACACCAGAAGTGATGAAACAAAACGGCTATTTTTGTAGTGCTTTTATAACATATTTATGTTATAATTTTCGAATAAATTATATTTGCTCTACTCTGTATTGAGCACTCTTTTAAGAATAATATTTTTAGTTATTGGAATTTATTCCGTATATACCAATCGTATACTTGGGTATATATATATATATATATATATATATATATATATATACCAATCGTATACTTGGTATATATATATATATATATACCCAAGTATACGATTGGTATATCTGGAATAAATTATTATATTTTATTCTTCATATTGCTGCTACACAAGTTTCCGGTTTCGTGGCCTTTTTCAGGCAAATAAAAGGAATACATTTTTAAAAGGGATAAATTTTCCTTATATTCTTTTAATTTATTATTGTTCGTTTTCTGTATTTGTTAGTGAGCCTTGAACTCCTTTCTAGACTGTTGACAAAAGTGAGTTTCTACCTAAGTGTTAATAAAACCATTAGGTTTGGTATGAGAGCTGGTGATGTGATGTGTTGATGAGTGATGTCTTCCTATCCCTGTTAGCCTACGTATGTAAATTCCCACCCCATATATACATACAGTCTTATAATAAGGAATCAGCATACACATATATGCATATGTATATACACATACAGATATACATACACACACACACATTTTTCCTGTGTTCGTGTGTGTGCCCGTGAGTGTATGTATATATATTTTTGTTCTCCATAGATACCTGTTTGCTCATGCGTACGTGTAGGCATGTGTGCGGTCCGACCAGTGTATCTGGTCATCATGTGTGCATGCTGTGTGTCCATGTATGTGGGACTATGATCAGTTCAGTGCTGGTTTAAATTTGTCTATGAAGTAGATAGCATTTGTAGATGTGTTGCGATACAAAGAGTTTTCTGTTGTCGGGTAATTTGAATTTGCTTTTATGAAGGGCAACTCTGTTGTTAAGTGCCTAACTTCTTGCATTTTGTGCATTTGAGTGCATAGATCAAATTTTTGGAGTTGCAGCTTAATTTTTTATTTATTGTAAATGTAGTTGCGGGGTTTTCAAAATTGTAGGAGTTCCCTTCTATAATGACATCACAAACTCCACATCATTTTTGTTGCATTTTGTGACCCTTGTATATTGTGTTGGTTAATTTGGATGAGGTTAATATATGTTTCAGGTTTTTAGATTGGCGTTTGCTTTTAATTATTTTGGTTGTTTTTAGTATATTTTTCATTTTGTCATTCTTGTTAAGTAAGTCTAGATTTTTTATAATTAGTTCTGGATTGTTCTATGTTGGGACATATGATAGGGTTTGTTCGACGTTTCGTTTTTTTTGGGGGGATTTCATAGTTGGTCTAGTGGTGTTTTTTTCTGCTAGTTCATTTTTTTTATTAGTGTTGTGGGGTAGCTTCGGTTTTTAGAGTTCTATATAGTTCTTCTAGGTGGGTTTTCCTGAAGTGTTTGTCGGTCACTGTAGTGCAAACACTACGTGCTAGGGGATTGGTTTCAGACAGCTTTTTGGGTGATGGCTCTTGAAATGAAGATATTATTGGGTGTCTGTAGGTTTGTGGTAGATATATGTAATTATGTGGTTGTTTCTATTTCTAATGAGTATATCTAAAAATGGTAATTCGTCGAAATCATATTCTTGGGTGAATTTGAATTTTGATTGAAAGTTCTGAAGTAGAGCGTGGGATTGGTTAATATCGCCCCATGAGGATTTCCAGAAAATTAAGCAATCAACTAAATATATATATATATATATATATATATATATATATATATTTCTTTTTCAGTGCCAGACTGAAGGCACGTAACACATTTTTATATTTTATTAGCCTGTTCCCTTTTTAGAAAATAAAAAAAAGTAACATATTTATTTATTTTTATTTATTATAACTGTTTCAGTAATTATCTGCTTTTGACGACTATAGACTACTGGTGTCGCCCAAAATATACTTGGTAACCGAGTACACAATATAAACGGAGGGACAAGTGACTTAACGGTTATGAACACGGAAAATGGAATCAACATATTGAATTCAAATTCCGTTTAAGAGTATGTGTTTTCTTTTACCTTTGACATGAATCTACTTCTCTATACAGATCAGGGTATTACTTCCTTCTACCCGACTCTCTACAGGGAAATTGAAAAGTTGGAACACTTTAGCTGTGGAAGACAGTCCATGTAAGAGAATAACAATAAAATGACACAAATTCTGAGGAAAAGCTTCAAACTTAGAGTCAATACGATGTGTGTAAGCGAATTTCCGCTTTGAGCTATCAGCGCAGGCGGGAAAAGACTTTTGCAGTTGATGGGCGGATTCTTTCTCTTGATTCTTAAAAGTCATCTCCAACAACAATAAGCTATTTGTTAAATAAAATTCATTGTTTTTCATCTAAAATAAACTCTACGCGGAAATACGTCATTTGGAATATATTTTCTAGTTTTCGACTGACATTCGACACATTGCCTAAAAAGGACAATATTGTTGTTGACGACATTTCACTTATGTCTGCAGATATAATGTTAATTTTATAAAATTTGGTTTATGTTCTCTTTCCACGAGAAAAATAGAATAAAGTTTCTTTAAAAGACATCACTGAACATTGTTCAGTAAAATTGTCTGAAATTATTGTCTATTTTAATGCTGACACGATTTTAGTCCACAGATATGTTATTCACGATTCGATGTCCCATGTCGTAAAAACTGTTAAGCAATTTAATGGTTTTGTTTGTTTCCACGACAATAAAACTAAATTACCTTTAAAATCAAAGTAAAACACTAGAGATTAAACAATAAAAGGAAATTACAAAGTGGAAAACGTTGTATTAGTAATTTCGTTTTATTGTTTAATCTTTCGAATTTAACGTTTTAACTCGTTTTTATTGGAAATCACGCTTATGAGAGCCAGGTATAGGTTTATTCGAAATATATTATAATTCTGCGTATTCCTTTCTTCATATGTTTGTTACGTTCGGGAGTTACTTCAGATAAATATTGAGTATTCTATTCAGTTTTGATTGCGGGGAAAGTCGGAATAAAAATATATATCAGAGACGCTGTCTGGTCACAGTGACAAAAAGAAAACATACATAATTATAAGAAAGAAAGAAAGAAAGAAAGAAAGAAAGAAAGAAAGAAAGAAAGAAAAGAGAAGATAGAGTAAGCGATAACGCCATCATCGGCTTAACAGCTGTTTCAATGAAAACGAAAACGTTGTCAATATCAAATCTTTCAATTTGTACTCTCTTACTTCATTAAATAACAACCTGCATTCATTATTATGATTGTTACTGTAATCTTCTATTAAAGTTGTCAAGCTCAAATAATTAACGACGCGACAGTGGAATTCCCACGAGTATGGAAATCTCAAGGAACGTATTCAATCATTAAATTAAGAATTATGATTCATCAGAAATTTAAAACATTGAAAAACCGTGAGATTTTCCAGTAAAGGCTAGAGGTACGAAAAAGTTCAAGTCATGGGTATGACGATAAACTACATCCGGCAGCAAGACCTCTGATCGGTAAATTGGAGGTTTTGAGGGGCGTGGAATCACATCTTAATTATGGTCTAAACAATAACATAGATTTTAAAAAAAAGCTTTTAACCATGAACCTTTACCTTTTCGTGTAAACTTAAAACCTCTGGTCTATCCTTTAATTATTTGTCAGGTCCTCAAAAATTAATTAAATTGAAAAAAAATGCCTAAAACATCATGAGTGGCATGATTTCTTAAAATAAAACAAAACGGGTAGCAATGGCGTGACCACGGTACATCTAACCTCTTAGTTTAATAGTAGATTGCGTTATGTAAGAGATATGTTCTGATTTTTTTCTATTCTATTTACCCATTGTATAATATCCACTTGATGAGTGCGTATTTTGGTGGAAAAGAAAATATTAACATGACATATTATTAAACATGTTAAGAATGGAATTCGAAAAGAGACGATACAAAGTAGATAACAATAACATTTCGTTTCATCCTAGTTCTCCATTGATAAGTAACAATATGAATTATCAGAGAAGTTTCATACTTTGATGTGAACTATAAGAGTTCATTCTATTGATAAGTGCTTACTGTTTGAACTTATTTACTTAATAGTTAAGATGCGTTTCGCAGGCACGACGTCTTCAGACTTCTTTTTCAACAATATGAAATTACCACTTCTTGACGGATATATTCAGAACATGTTCAGAGTTTAAACATTAAATATGCGAACGTTTTTCTAAACAAAAAGGAAGCATGGCCATTTTAAGGGACATACTCAAAATGCATTATATAGATATGAAACAGGAGAGGCAATGCTTAAATTGGGTAGAAGGCACTCGTTATCCTGGGAGGGCAGTATATCGAAGAGAATGAAAACTCTGATGAGGATTAAATTTGAGGCTGGAGTCACAAAAGCACTACGACGTTGCATCCAAATATGTTATGGCAACACTTACGACTTGTTCTTCCCTTGGATAACATCGATAGAGAGGAGAACGGAAACCTATTGTATGGGCAACAGACGATAAAACAAATCCTGGCAACAGAAAACACCTTTGAGTTAAATTAACAATAAAGTTACTGCAATTGAGAGATCTTGAAAAAGGCTGCAGTGGAGAGGTAAGTAATATTAATAATGTATTGTGCTAAAGGTTAATGAGAATTTCTTTAGATTATTTGACATTTTATGATCATTTCTATTCGAATTACGGGAACGTGTAATGCTCAACCGAATTAAACTAATCTAAATTAGAATTGCAAATATAATTCCGGCTTACGGACACATCACGGTGAAATACTGGTTCCCTTAAGATCACCGAAGTTAAGCAACGTCGAGCTTGGTCAATACCTAGATGGATGATCGCTTAGGGATACCAGGTGCTGTAAGTTTGAATGTACGTGTGGTGTAATGGATAATGTCTCGGAATTGAGTTCCAATTCCAGTTGGGTTCGTTATATTAACTTACGCGCAAAAATACCTTGGGAAATGTATTGTTGAGGGGTTCTCCCCTTTTTACACAAATGGACTCACCCAGTATATACATATACTACTGCTACGTGAAGACTCGAGACAGACCGAAGAGGGAGAGTGAAAGGAGTAAGGTAACAAACAGACAGACAGACAGACAGACAGACAGACAGACCGAACGAACGTAGCGAGCAAGAGTCACAGTGAGCGAGCACGTAGACTCAGTAAGAAGTCATACAGCGATACTTCAATACCAAAGACTGTATAGATATTTTGCTACTAACCCGTATTCCTGGAACTACTAACCTGCATTACCAGTTTGTATTATTACGTTAATATATTATTTTTCCTATATTCATTCTTGGCGTTTGTTATTTATTGGTATTTCATCCCGGAATCCACAACAGGTATAAATCCACCTCTTCTCACCCTCACCCAAATATGGGTTAATTAATAAGACTTGTATCACTAATTATTATTATCTCCAACAAAATAAAAAAAATTACAATCAAAAAATATTTTCTGGCTTTAAATAACTTGCAAATCAGTCAATCAAAATAGCTACATGCCTTAGATTTGTTTGCATTTTCTGGAATATAAGTGTATAGAATCTATCGTGGCCTCAAATTGAGGGATCAGTTTATATGTTGATTGTAATATATAATTGATCCTCCACTTTATATGCACATTATAATTTCCTGTTTACACTATTTACATTGTTTGGACTGTTGTCCTCGATTTTATTGTCACATCCGCAACATTTCGGCCGTTGTATGCTCCGGCTTTCTTCAGGTGGTATTTATTTATTAGATTGCTTATTTACAAGAATAATTTATCATTACAAAATTATGAAAATATGTGAAGCAACTATAATGAAATATTTATTATTTACCATTTTATAAAGAAGTAAACATGAAGAGATTTTTTTTCATTAATTTATAAAAATAAACAAGAAAAGAAAATTTAAATAAACACACATTAAAAAAAATGTATTTTCCGGGCATTTGTTTCATTTACTCTTATCATATGAATTCATTAAAATAGGTTGAGAGTATCTCTTTCTGTAACAAATTTTGATCATTTTGTAAGTTTTATAAATATTTGAATAAAAGGACTTCTTGTCCAATTTATTTCTTTATAAACGGTAAATAATAAATATCGGATTGTATTTGTTTCACATATTTTTATAATCTTGTAAATAAATATTGCCGAGGAAATCAAAAGTGTATACAATAATATATACAATAATAGCGGTGTCAAGGGAATAACCTTCCTGTTGACACACCGCTTTTTTGCGGACATGAAGGTTAAACATGGCCGATTTATCTATATTTGGCTAATAGTGTGTAGATTTAAGAAGTGTTATAATTGATCCAGTCCCAGGAGTAGACAATAAATCCTATCAAAATAGAATTAAGCAAAGGTTTCATTATAAAATCCGATGATGGGAAGTGAATATATCACATCTTAGAAAAAAATCACTTTAAGCTTAGTAGAAGTTTTGATTCCTTCGTCATTGGCTTATACTTCAATGATTCCTGGAAAATCACTGACATCTACGCGCAGCATATAAACTAGTCGCGACATTCAATCAACAATTACATTCTGACTACATTTAATGCGTTATATGTCAAAGATGTACTCGGTAAGTATTGACAGGTGTTCTTTTAACGATCCGGTTATATTCGGTTTAAACTGTGAATGGACACGCACAACAGTTTATGGTCTGTCAGCAAAGTCAAAATGCGACCTTCACTATGATTGCGAAAACAAAGCACTGTTACCAACAACTATCTGCCGAAAGTGGAAGTTTTTATCTGATGTAACGGAATCAACTTATTCCTAGTCTTCGAGCAGTGATGGCAAAAATACTTCCAGAAAAAAATACCGTGAGTATAATAAAAAAAAAAGGCACCCAGATATTTCTAACACTAGTAGACACAATTTTAAACTACAGGTATTGCAAAATGTATCAGTTTTTTTTTCTTTTTATAAAAACTGTTGCATTCCGGTAAATTTCTAAAAGAAAAATGTATTTGGTTTGGTTTGTTTGTTTAACGGCGCATCAACTCCTAATGGGTCATTTAATGCCGAAATTTTATTTTCTTGTGAGCTTTGGTAATTAAAAAAAAAAAAAAAAAAACATATTACTCTTTTTAAGTTTTTTCACTATAAAATGTATCGCTGGTAATTTTTTGTAAGGTATTTTTATATTTTCATGTTTGAGGGTTCACAATTTGCCCTTAGCTGAGACCCTAATTTGTGTTATCACCCTGAGTCAGGGTGACCTGAGAACAACAGCAATTAAGAAGTAGTTGCACGTTCCTCCCGATCAGAAGCCTTGTGCCGGATGTAGTTTATCGTTATACCCAGGACGCATATATTTGGTAAAAGAGATTGAGAATAAAATAAGCATTCCATCGAAATAAAAGTAACTCTGTAAGGGATCTTCTTCAAGGGCGCTTTTCTTTTCTGTCTTTATCAGATCATATTTTACATTTATTATGTGATCTGTTGGATTACCGCCCCCTGACGATAATCACAAGCGACAAAATTTTGAATTACCCCCCCCCCCCGACAATAATTACAGGGGGAGCGAGATTTGAAAGAATCAACCTCTTTCTCGGGGATTTTTCATAACGAAAAGGCTTATTCTTTTCGCCCCCGCAAAAAAAAAAATGTAAGTACTCAACTACAGACGCTGAAAGTTGCTTTGAACTCTTCATTTTTCATTTCATTTCTCCTTTTTTTTTCCTTTAGTAAAATGTCATATCAATATATTTGTTAATATTTCCTTGTTCAGTTTTTATGTCATACTTTTCCTTTTGAACTCTCACAAGTCCACCAAAAATTGCGAGTCAAATGTACCGGGAGCTTATAAAATCTTATCAAAAATGCTGAAACTCGCACCAGATCTGATAGGCTCAGCAATTCTCTGGAAATTAAGTATTTGAATATGTCCTAATAAGTCTAAAAACTTTGTTTTTGTCACGTGATATGTTTACGCCTACGTCCATGCGACTAGATCTCATTTAAGTGCGGCTTAGTTGCAACACCCACCTCCCTGAAAGTGAGAAAATAGGAACTGAATTTAAAATGTATTAAAATGAGTGTAATAGGATAGTAAATACGAATGTTTAGATCGTTTAGTTATATTTTTAGAAGTAATGAAATTGGAGGTACTAAACATGTTTGTGTTAACGTTTTAAAAAATAAAACCAATAGGAATGGCTATTCTATCCTATTACTTGATGTAAAGTTTCACCAACACTATACTGAGTACTGTCATTGACTAATTGATAATCAGATACTTCAGATTGTAAGTGAGATCGTTTAGTTACATTACAAAGTTATTGCGCAATATTATTGACGGAGTCGTTTTCAATATCAGATAATTCAAACGGACAACTTCAAACGTAAGTTGAAAAACTTAGTAAGTAGAACAATTTTGGCATGATTGGGGAAAAGTTTGCATTCTAAAAACACCATCTCCCCAAAATTCTACGTAAATTTATAGAACGTTTCCTATATGGAAAATTTCAATTCATAAACCATTGTATCAGATGGTAAAAGATATGTACTTGTATTAAAACCCGAAAATTCTAAATTAGAAACATTAAAGATACACTTTGAAAAATATTTTATTCAAATTGATTTTGTAATAAGAAAAGAGAAGTATAAACAAAACTGAAATTTCGAATACTCCCGGCTTCTCTGAACATAAAATGGAATATAGCTTGATTTTATTTGACACAAACAAAAACGAACGACAAAATAATATAATTGACTTAAAAGAAACGCTTATATATCAAACCAATTTCAAATTGAACTCTATTACTGATTTGAACCTCTCCTCCACTCATATATAGATTATTATGGAGAGTTAGCTGAAGCAGTTAACAATACTATTCTGGCTTCCGCAGATAAAATTTTGCCTTCAGTTATAAATCGAAAGTCATCTTTGATGAAATATGACACCATTAGCGCAAATGAAAATAAGAAAAATGTTTGAAATGATTTCAGAGAAAGATCCAACCAACAAATGACTGTTAAAACAAAGGCTAAAAGACTACTTAAGAGAGACAAGCAAGGTAAGTTAAACAAAGAATAAGATGAATTGTCCAAACTTTCTGTTAAGGAGTCCACCCCTTTTTTGATACAAGTGGACTCGCCCAGTGTGTACTTGTACTGCTGCCGGTGAATACCCAGAGAGTGAAAGTCAGACAGTGAGACATTGACGGTGATACAGTGAGAGAGTAGAGTGTGAGGTAACCGCTTTGTAGGAGTCACAGTTGCGAGCACGTAGACTCAGAAGGAAGTCATACTTCGATACTGAATTTCCCAGACTGTATATATATTATTATTGCTACTAACCGCATTTCTGGATCTACTAACCGTATTACCAATTGTATTATTACGTCAATACATTTATTTGCTATATTTCATTCCTGCGTTTGTCATTCATTTGAGCCCGGATTTCATCCCAGAATCCACAACACTTTCTTCAATTCCTCCTTGCAAAGATGAATCTAAAAATAAGAAAAAAAGGAAACTAAGTTGGAGGTTAAAAGATAGAAATGACGACTTATTAACATCCAAAGAGATACAAGAATCATCATGAGAACTGTTTCGACTTGAAAGGCAAACTGTAAATTAGTGTCGTTTCTCATCTTCAACATAGATGATTGTAATCCAAACCATGACCATCATGCTCAGGTCCATTTATGTTTCTTTAACATCCACAGAGCCAACTTGGGTTTCTTTAATACCTAGAGAGCCAACCGGTGGTTTATACTGTAACTGCCGGATACAGGAATGTTGGACAAAATATTATGAAGAATTATACCGTGATGAAGATAATTCAAATCAACAGACGTCAACGCCTGAAAATAAACTAGAAATACCATATATCACCAAA